TTTTAGCCACGTGGTCGGCCAGTGGGACAGTTTGTCCATGACTGGGTGCACCACCGCATGCATGTGCTGGGACATCGCCCACAGTCAGCAGCCACTGCCCTGCAGTGTCCCTGTGGGCAGCCAGAACCTGCCATCTTTTGATAATCATGCTTTTCATTATCTAATGCACTAACAAGGCAACTGAAAGCAGTATGAATAAAAAAGGGGTTGTGTGTGTTTTGTATGGTTGCTGTCATCTCTCCAAAAGGTGTTTTCATTTTCTCACGCCTCCTTTGAACTGTTATGGCTAAAGGGTCCTCCTGGATGTTTGTTCTTGTTTTCCCTCTTCTCTCTCCCTAAAACAGACTCCCTGTCCCCTCATCTTTCCATACACACCCTTTATCCACAATTAATTTGCTGATATAGGAGATAATGAAAAGTATTATTTCACCAGAGACTTTACTGCCTTGCATTCGACCTGATAAATGGCGTGACTGTAAGGCTTTATCCTGCTGCCTTCACCATATCTAGCTTATGAACCTATTTTCATTATAGTTACAGATGACTGAAAAATCATGACAAGTCAAGTGAAATTTTGCAGGGAAATGGCAAGCATTTTTGACCACTTTGCAGCATTCCACTGACATTTCAGAAACATCCAGCCAACGGGGGGGGGGTGGGGTGTCAAGATGTATGTCCTCAGTTTTATGGCATATCTGCCTGCTTTTGGCCAAGATAATTACATTATTTAATGCATTTTACAGTTTCACAGACCCATAATTTCCAGTTTCACCAGCTTCGCAGATCAGCTATTAAAGTCTAGTTTTTATAACCTATATCAGCCTCTCCACAGAAGGCATGATTTGACTTCTTGATTTACATAGAAGTTATCAGATTTTCATCATCTCTCTTCAGAGAGAACAGTCTGTATATCTTTCACAAACCAGGGCTAGTAGAAAAGGAAACAGCAATTCATTACTGTAAATTTAAATATTTTTAGAAAGAAATTTTGATGGGGGGAAAAAAAAACATAGTGGAAGGAACCAGTATTACTCAGTCTGCAATGCTCAGCTGTCCTACTGGAAGTGTCGATGGCAATTTTAGTATCGCCGAAAAGGCCTGAAATAGCTGCTACATATCACAAAATAACGCTACGGTAAAAGCAGCAAACTGAAGAAAGTGAGCCCCACCAGGGCTGTATGGGCGCAGACCTCACTGGGAACAGGAGTTACAGCTCTCCCCATTCCCTGGGCCGACAGCAGCACCTACGCCGAGCGCAACACAGCCATACACAGACTGGGAATGCAACTCAGGGCTGCCGCTTTTCCCATTTTTAAAGATTACTCGTTTGTAGAGTCACACATTAGTAATTTTCTTTAAGTTCACTGAAGCAGAAACTAACTCAACACAACTCCGGTGAGCCAATTTCTCACAGTTTCTTCTTGCGGAAAGAGTTGATAAACCTGAGCTGCGAGATTGCCTGTGAGCCCCGAAGGCTCTCCATCACACCCGATACCTCCTGATAGCTTTATTTGACGATCTGGCAAAACAACAACAAGAAGTTGATACTCGAAAGAGAAATTTAATACCAGTGCTTGTGATTTATGAAACGCTCTATTACAGGTTTCACTTGCAGTTTTTCTAGTTGGAGAGATGATACGTTATTCAAGCTCGCCCCCCAGTGGACTCCATGCCCACACCAGTACGCTGTTTTGAGGACACTGGTGAGAAGTATTGGGGAGCTAGATGATAGCATACTTAAAAAAACCTGGGAATTACTCAAAGAGAATTAAATTCTCTTTGAGTCACACTAGAAAAGTGACCTCCCTGTGGTATAAACACTTAAGTAGTATTTTTGGTTGAAACCAAACAGTCTACCAGTTTCACACCTCTGCTGGGCTCTCTGCCTTCTCATCTGCTACAGCCATATAATGCTCAAAGGGTGATTTGGCTAAATTTGGCTAAATATTTTGTCTCCATTTTTAATTAAAACAAGTATACTTTCCAACCAACCAAGTTGTTCATCCTGTCAAAATACCACATTGTTTCTCCTCCTGTATCCAAATGACTGCAAGTATTTTAGTGGCTATGCATATATAGTAAATGAAAAAAAAAAAAAATAGTTCTCAAACACATCCTGCTTAGGTAAACAATTGTCAGCAAGATCAGCCTGCCTAAAAAAAAAAAAAAAAAAGGTCCAGATTATGCAATGCTGAGTTTCTGTGATCTTTTCTCAGAAAGTTTCCTACTGAAACTTGCTCACCCTTGCGTGCATAGCTGTCATACTTCATTTATACTTATCCAAAACTGCACAGTAATTACTGTGGGTCATACGTGAATAATTAACTTCTTTCCCCTGAAGCAAAAGTAAAGGCCAAGATAAAAAATTGTAAGATGAGCTTAATACATAGAGTATGCTCACGGTTGGTGCTACATGTAAAGTCAGAATATACCAACTTCTTACCAAGTGTTCTGTGAAACACATTTAATTCTGACAGCATGATACAGATTTTTCTCACTGGATCTTTTGGCTAAATTCAGTGCTTACCTTCTTTCTAGACTATACTGCTTATCTTGCAGCAGACATGAAGACATGACAATATAAAGCAGTTAACAGCTGACCACTTAATGAAGGTTTTTTATTTTATTTTATTTTTCTTTTTCCCCCCTGAAGGAATAAACCAACGTCCAACATGACCGCAATACATTTCAGGCAGCTGCCTTTTGGGGTGGGGATTCATTTCAGCCAGCTAACAGGTAGGTACCCGGGCTTCCTCTGTATTCAGCAATGAAAGAGAGAAACACCTTCGCAAGCCAATCCCTGGGTCTACCTGAAGAGGGAATAATGTGCCCCAGAGGTGCCAATCCCTCTTCACTGACTACCCAGAGATCCCAGACAGATAGCATAGCCGAGACACCCAGCTGCCAGGGAACCAAGGATGGGGAGATGGATCCTATGATTACAGCAGGTATAGAAACTCCCTTCATGCTGCTGGAGAGTTACAGCTGCAAAAGTTGTAAATACCAATGCCATTTCAGCTCTTCAGTGCCTGGTTTTGAGCACCCTCAGTGCACAGCCTGAGATTCAGCGGTGCAGACTATAACACTGATTTGGGTGTGTTACCCGCAAGTGCTGGTCTGTCATGAGATCACTAATGAATTACAGACTCATCACAAACGTGATTCTCAGTGATTTACGGCAGAGAAGAGCCTTCTGTATTTCTGGGCTAGCTTGGGTGTGACATTGCTGAGGTTATTCACACCTAGTTTTGTAACTCAGCTCCTTACACGGTCCTTGCTTACACTCCTGCACTGGTTGCGACTCTTGCAGGCTAGAAAAGTGACCTCCCTGTGGTATAAACACTTAAGTAGTATTTTTGGTTGAAACCAAACAGTCTACCAGTTTCACACCTCTGCTGGGCTCTCTGCCTTCTCATCTGCTACAGCCATATAATGCTCAAAGGGTGATACAGGCAAGAATAGGGAAATAACTTAGAAATCAGGGCAGGGGAAAGGAAAGAGACAGTAGGGTTGGATTGGGATAAAAGAAGTAAAACACGGATGACAGAGAAGAAGGTGAAAGGGTAAGGGTATACAGAATACATTGGAAGGGTAGGGATGAAAGACCACATTGAAGATGGGAAAGAACAGGGAAGAGGAAAAAAGAATTAAGACAAGACATGATAAATTAAGAGCAGAGAAGGCAAAAGCATTAACATGAAGATATGAAAAAACTAGAAAAATTGGCCTGGAGGGAAACGTAATGAAACTCCCAGATCACCAGAACATTTCCGCTGTTTAAGGAAGGGACTCTTACCTTACAGAAATTGGTTTAGTAGGGGGTATTGGGATGGAGCCTTGTTCAGTATTCCTCTCAACAAAAGTCCTACCAACCAAAAGAAATATTGGAAAGAGTGATGGAGACGTGGCCTCATTTGAAACGGAGAAGCCATCACTTAATTCTTTAAAATAGTATCTCATACTCTTTAGAGTACATCACACCACAGAAAGCACCAGCAGATTCTCAGCAAACAACATTGTGCTGCATACTGGATAAACACCATCTTTTCTCCACGGAGTTACAAGAACGCTGAAGTACATTAAGAGCAGAAAGATCAATAAATTTAATTTCAGCAAATCAGCAGCAGAGCAAGGAACAGCACTGAAACTCTGAGAGTTCTGTCCACTGCCTTTCTAGCCACTCAAGCGATCCCCTTTTAAATTGGTCTTGATGACTTCAAATTGCTGCTCCTGGGTTTATCCACAACAAAATTACAACAATTACACATCACTGTTTCAGCTACCCTTACGTGCCTGTCACGTAGACCAGAAACAGCCCATAAAGTTAGCCAGGACAACAGATATTGATTAAGTGTTAAGTATTATCATCACTAAATGGGACCCAGCTCATCTAAGCACCTCTCTTGCATCTCTGTTGTAGGGACCTAGCGCAACCTATTCTCATAAAGTGACGGACTTCCCTCTGCAGTATGTGGTAGGTGACTCTGAAAGCCTCCAGAAAGAAATAATGAGCTCTTGAGTTTAGACTTGAATTGAACTGAAGGCATTTAGTGGAACCTCGCATTCAAAGGCTACATCTGTAAAAGCAAGTGGTGGCTCAATAGGAGCAGGTCTGTAGAGTGAAAACCATGATGCTGAAGATCCATGTCTACACTTCACGCTCTTCTTGAGGGCTTCCCAAGCAATGACCACCCATTGCTGCTGAAGCACAGTACATGTGTCTCTGGAGACCACTTTTCTGTTTAGTTTCGTCTGAAAGGATTCTGGTTTGTGTCGACACTGCCTGTGCTGCAAAGTGGGGATGACAGGGAAGTTCAAGTCAAAAGCATGCTCTTGTTCTGCACCAGAATGACAATGGTGATGCTCTCACAGACATCTCTGTTATTTAGGTATAGGCCTTTGGCTCCTAGTGTAGGATGACGAGTTCAATACATCCTAAATTAGACAGAAAAGTAACCTGCTTGTCTTAACTGTGGTACACAGTGCCAGCAAAGTCCTACCTGTGTGTGTTCTCCGGTGAGCCTTCAGGTGGGAACTTTTTGTGTATACTTTGTTGCATCCCTCAAAATCACACCGATGGATGCGCCGCTTCCTGGAGTCTGGAGACTCGGACCTTCTCTGACGCCTTGTGCTCTCAATACTGAATGGTGAAATTGAACTAAAAAAAAGAACAGAGGCAAAAAATGAAGCAAGAGCATGGTGTATATCCTGGGCCCCAAAAGATCAACAGTAACATATCACTGTGCCAGAAGTGACATTAACAATTAATTAAGTATTTTCTTTTTTACAATGTAGGCCACAGCACATATTTGAAACAATTTGTACTTGAACTAGAGCGTATTTTGCAATATGAAATAATTCAAGTCTTGATTTAGAAGTGCTTATTGCCAGAGAAAACACCACGATCCTTGAAATACCACTCCAATAATGAAATAGCCTGACTTTATCTGAGTTTTATTCTATTTTACATGTGTCCAGATCCAAGCTCACTGAACCCTGCTTTCTAAACAACTTTATTTATAGCCTCCACAATTTCTCTTTGACAAGTTTAAATGGATAAACATCCTGAAACCTTTTATGAAAAAGTGATTCCAGTACACAGATCGGGACTATGGATTCTTGCATTTGGCCAAACACCCGTTGTTTGCTTGCATACAGACTGCTAAGAAATCCATATCACTCTGCAGCAGTGTATTTTCCATTTACTTATTTAACAATTCTCAATCTATCACCTGCAAGTCAATGAATTTTATTTCCTTTCAGATCACTGATAAATAAAAAAGTTTATTAGCAGAGGGCCAGCGAACAATCCCCACAGAAACACCTATGCTCAGTGAAGATACTCCATTTACAGCACATCCTATCAGTTATCCCAATTTTAAGCAAATAAATAAGTGACGTTGAAGTCATGTTGCTTTATTTTATAAACACAGTATGTACCGAGTCTAATACTTGATGAAAGCCTGCTACAACAATGCACTTGCCTTGGTTAGATAAACTTGTGACATAAACTATTATCAAGCAGGTATGCCAAGATCCAAATCCTCATTGACTCTCATTAATTATATTACCCAGCTATCATAATTAGGAATTGATCTCCTTATAAACCCCATTATGGTTATAGTGCACAGCAGTCACATTCACCTACAGTTATACCAGCCTGTTGAGCTACTTTAAGTATGGGAACAACATTGGCCTTCATCAAGTTTCTGGGGCTTCCCCCACATTCCTGGGTTTATTGACATTAAAGGCAAATAATCTACAGATTTGTCAGTCAGCTCTTTTAAACTCTTAAGATGCATGTTCCCGGTTCTCCTGAAAGAATTTGTGACTGTCAAATGAAAATGAATTGAAGGAAAAGAAAGTGAATCTGATCACAAAAAGAAGTACGCACGAACCTTTGGGGAAGCTAAGATACTAAGAAAGTAATTTGAAAGAATCACTGATGTTGACGCATCTGCTGAGAAGGTACTACACTATTAAAAAAAAATTGAGTACTCTCTTTCTGATAGTTCTCTTTTTCTCTTAGCACTTTATATTCATATTTCACCTTCAGGCAAAGAGACTTTCCAGATTAATTATTTTTGCCTAGAATACAATGTATGTAAACGGGCATGCGGGGAATTTCTGAAGTGGAGGAAGAAATGGAGAGAGGACTGTAATAGCAACATTAAATAGCAAAAAGTAGTCCCCAAAAGAGTAGGACACATCAGCACTTTCATTATGTGGCAAGAATACAGATATGTTTAGCTGTCACAGAAATGGCTTAGGAATTGCATTTAAGCATCTGCATCTCAGGGCAAATAAAAGTCTTGAGTTAGATAATACACTGAGAATGGTCTCACTACTCCACTTTTTTTTTTTTAACCATCCCCAGCTAAAATAAAAACCAAACATGTATATCAAATCTTAAAGCTCAAATATGGAGGGTACAAAATCCAGTGCTTGAGACCAGAAAATCTTTATCTTTAAAAATAAATATTTGTGCACCATTTCTGCTGCATGTGATTTACGAGCCACCTTAAAAGCCTATTTTGTAACCAGGTGTTCAGATCCTGGGTAGTACAGCTCGTTTAAATGGGAGGAGGATCAAGCTTATAACGTTGCTGCAATTTCCAGCCCCGAGACACGAACCTTGAGCAGAGTCAGCACCTCGTAAAAAGCTATTTGTCACGTACAAGAAAGTGACCTCACTGCTGGGAACCGCT